CATGTACACAGAGTACACTATATGGTGTGTGTGAGCAAAATGGACTTCTGTCAAATCTTAGGAGATAGTTCCACAAATGGCTGCCATTGTAGGCATAGTACATCCACAGCTTGTGTCCAGATCAAGAGATCTCTGAGGAGAAGACAGAGGTGGACCCTACATGCCAGAGTGACAGAGAATGCAACTGACAGCTCCCTATTATTATGTTTGTCATTCAGTCTGTCTCTACAGGCAAACCATACTATGAGAGTATCAATTTTAAGTTTTCAGGGCTGGTCAGATAGCTTCAGTGAAGTGAAGTGCCTGCTTAGGCAGAGCGCAGGGACCAGCGTTCCATCCCCATGTGCTGTGCTGGCCCTGGCCCCAGGGTGCGCTGAGATGGCACTGAGACTGGGTATGGTGGTGCATGCCTATAATCTCAGCTCTTGGGAGCCTGAAAACAGGAGGATCACTACGAGTCCATTCTGCATAGTGAGACCCTTGCAGACCCTGTTTCAAAAACATAAAAACAAAAAAAAGTTTTCATACTACTGAAAAGATTTATTAAGCCCATTCTATACTTGGCATTCAGAAGGAACAGTTTAAAGAAAACATAGATGATCCCCTAAAGGAGCTTACTTTTATCTAATTCTCCTTGAAACACCATTTTTGTAAGATGAAACGGCTGCAGTCCTCATAATTACCTTTAGCTTTAGCTTTGTAGAAATATTTAACCAGTATGTCATAATCAGAAGTGTGCCCAGGCCTTGCCTCTTTTCTCTTCTGCTCACATCTGGAAGGCAGAGCATCCTTGTGAGTACTCAGTCAGATCTGTAACTGGGATCCACAGGGAACCTTGAAGCGCTCTCTCAGGTTTCAAATGCTTCTGAAATGAGGCAGGTCACTAGGCTAGAGGGTGGACAGCTGCTCATCCCAAAGTTCCTTTGCTTGTGAGGTCCAGCATTTGTTTCAATTTCTTAGATCCAAATTAAATAATACTCACTGCCAGTCACTTTTAAGCAATGTAAAGGAAAGTGAAGAGCACTGCCTGCGCTATAGCAGTTTAGCTGCAACGAACTAGCCCAGGACCCCAGTGCACACACCATTCCACATGGGTTCTGTTTTATTAGATGAAATCAGCAGAAAGGCTAATGTAGCCTGCACGATGTTAGCTATCAGATCACACATCAGTTTCTGGAGTCTGTATTTATAGGTGGTCGGAATAGATTTCCCTCCAGTTTTATTGGCTGTAAATCTGCACATGTTTGGAATATTTCATAAAGAAACTCAATCATTTTTACTGTGCCTGGCCTCTAATTTTTTTCAACAAAATGATTGAGAATTTAATTATGTGCAACTTTTAGTTTGATTTATCTGTGAATAAAATGAATCAAATATGCTCATAAAATTTTCCTCTGATGCTTTTCAGTTAATTATTTATAGAAATGTGAAGCCCTCAGTCAAACATTTCACTTTATCTGTCTTTGTTGTATTATGTGCCTTGATCCAAGCCCATTCATCTGCTTTCTCTAACAGATTAACTATTCATGTCTCTTAGGCAGCACAATCATTAGACTAAATATAAGCAAATACCCTATATCCACAGCAAACGTGTAGCCAACCAAGGTTGTATACCACAGCCCAGTGATAGGCTCAATACTCATTAATTCATTGAACAAGTCTGAACTGAATATCTATTTTGTACTACTAGGACTGGCGATATAGTTCAGCAGAATAAGCCCCTGCTTCAGCAAGCTCAGGGATCGAGGTTCAGTCCCCTGCACCACATGCCATGCCAGCCCCACCCCTGGGTGCTCTGAGCTGGCCACTGAGTCTGGGCATGGTGGCTCATACCTGTAATCCCAGGGCTAGGGAGGCTGAAATCAAGAGAACCACTGTGTGTCCAAGCTGCGCAGTGAAACCCTGTACCAAATACATTAAAAAATAATTATATATATATATATATATATGCATATATAATGCTGGAACATATGAATGTGAAGAGGAATTAAAGCAAGCACAGTAAAGCAAGTACAATTTGAGGACAGAGAATGGCAGGGGAAAGGGAGGGACTGTGTGATATTTGTATTAATCACATTTATCCTTGCTTAGAAACAATACTCAACACACATAATTTTAAAGGAAATTTTAATTTGCTTGTGGTTTCTGACCACGATTGGCTGGCACCAGAGAAGAGATATCCTAGAAGAAGGGTGTGGCAAAAGGAAAGCAAAAAATGGCAACAATGCCTGAGAGGAAGGGGGAAGGACCATACATAGTCTACAAAGCCATGGCTCTCTGACTTCCTCAGACTCACCTAGAAATGTGTTCTACCAATCCCTGGGGTAGATCCCAAACTGTGCATGCCTTAACCATCTGGAAGCTACTGCAGTGGCAACTGGGGGAAGGCAGAAAACCCAGAAAGAAACATTCACAGGCTTCACTGCCTTATGCCAGATGGCTTTAGAGTAGAGACAGCAGAGCTAGAGGAAGCCCCATGAATACAGCTAATGTTGCACCCCTGGCAAGTCCAAAGACATGAATTTGGAGGAACCAAAAATGACTAGAGAAAACTAGAGAAAGAAGGAGTTAGAAGGACAATGAAAATTGGACAATGTCCCTGCAGAAGTTGGTGAAGAAGAAAAAGAACCCAATCCTCATATTCCTCAGTGTATTTCTTCAGTGCAGTGGTATACTGATCCATCTGAAAGTCCTACCTTAAAGCATCAGAGACCACAGTCAGAAAAACAAAATCAATTCACCTCATCTGGAGAATGGTACAAGAGAAATGTTAAAGAGAATTCTGTAACTACTAAATACTACAAAGGAGCATGTGAAAATTATGGGGCCAGGAGACACACACATAAAAGACTGATTTGGGAGACCAAGGCAAGTTGGAACCAAATACATAGGCACTAACATAGCTCTAGAGAAACATGTCGAGCGTCAGTTGATATTTGAGGTGGCAAGAGAGACATTGGTGGAATGACTATATTCCAGAAGAACACATGAAAATTGCGGGAGAACACGCCAAAGTTAATCTGTCAAAATGAATGTTGAAAGCCCAGAAACTCCAAGAAGACTTAGCTTTGGGAAAATTAATGCAACAAGTTCATTCTCTAAAACACCAGTGGGAACCAAAGTCCCAGATGGAAAGAGATCATAATAGCAGAGATGAGGATGAAGATAAGTATGCAGATGACACTTGGGCAGAATTTTTACTCCAAGAGAGAAATCACTGTCTAGAATCTCAGGATTTAACAAGAGACTACAAAATATTTAAGAAACTTTGTAAAGGCATCATGGTAGTGGCAAAAAAGCAAACCTGAGGATCAGCAGAATGGACTAAAAGATGCAGAAACAACTACAAACATACTCATCTTTGATTAAAGGGGCCAAACATGATCACTGGAAGAAAGGCTTTTTAGTAAATGGTACTAGAAAAACTGGTTTTTCACGTATCTATCACCATTCACTAAACCACAGTCAAAATGGATAAAACATTTAAGTATCAAAACAGAAACAGTAAATCTTTAGGAGGAAAAAGCAGCTAGAAATCTTAAAAACATAGGAACATGTAGAGAATTCATGAATAAAATCCGAACTACCTGGGAAATACTATCTGGATCAAAGAACCAACAAATAGAATCTCACCTCTTTTTTAATATTTTATTTATTTATTCGGTACAGGGTCTTGCTATGCTGGGATTACAGGCATGGGCCACCATGCCCAGTTTTGATGACCAGCTCATCTTCTTGAAAAGTTTCAGCACATCGAAAGAAATCACCAACTGAGTCACAGGAAAACCCACAAAATGGGGGGAAAAAAGTGTAGCTAACTCTCCCTCAGTCAAAGGACTTCTATCTAAAACATACAAAGAATTAAAAACATCAGCACCCCCAAGTTCACAGACCCTATCCAAAATGGACTTCTGAAATGAATATATACTTCTAAGATGAAGAAATACAAATGGCAAATAAATATATGAAAAAAATGTTCAGCATCATTGGTCATTTGAGAAACAATGGCTATCATCAAAAAATAAAGTAGAGACATGCAAGATAGCTCAGAAGTCTAAAGTGCCTGGGTAGGCAAGCTTAAGCAAAGTGTAAGGACAGCAGCTCCATCCCTGGCACCACATGCTGCACCAGCTCTGCTCCCAGGGCAGACTATGATGGACACACAAAAAAGAAAAAGTAAACCAATAACTAATCCTGGAGGGGCTTTGGGCAGAAAGGAACCCTTTTCCACTATTGGTGGGAGTGCAGACTGGTACAACCACTATGGAAATCACTGTGAAGATTCCTTAAAAAGCTAGGACTGGAGGTGCCATTCAACCCAACTATTCCCCTCCTGGGTATTTTTTTTTTTCAGATTAAAAATCTTTTATTTTTACATGTTTAGATAGCATAAAACAAAAATCAGTATAAATGTCATTGGCATTTTTTGCAGGGAGTAGTCAATAACATTGTAACAGGAAAACATTCTAAGGCTGTCACCAAGTAGCTAGGCTACAGGTTGATTCAAGGGCCAAAATTAAATGTTATCCCACTTAATCTACACATGAAAGGAGTCCAAGGTTTATCCTGTATAATGTAAGGATTTTCACATTTAATGTATAGTGATTTACTTTTTCAGAAAGTGATGCAACTTTTAGTTTTCTACTACACAATGACTAAAAAAATCTCAACTATGAGCAACTATATGTTATATAGCTCAGTGAGTATCAGTAAACCATTCTGGGCTAGTGTACATTTCAGTTTAATACAGAACTATATTTGGGGCTTTAGAAAGGCAGTAGTAATTATATTTTGGCTTTTATTCTAGATACTTAACATAGTTAAGGCGACAGTCAAGCATATGAAATCTCTTACAACCTGCACACACTGTATAATGCTTATGTGGAATGAAACCAGTGTAACAATTGGTGTTTTACAGAGAACTTAGAAACATTGGAGGCAACCATACTAAACAGACTATGGTAACATGTAGAGAGTGCAAATATACTGCAGAACTAAAGTCATTTGAACAGCGCTATATGCATTACCAAAGCAAACGTGACTGGTTCTCACGCAAAGCCAGGCCTGCATCCATCACCTTAAGTACACAGTTTATAAAGCATTGGGTTTCCAGGACAGAAACCCTTCTAGGAAAGTCAGTACATCTTCTGAGAGCTTCATACATGTAAAACCAGGATAAGGCTATAGCTATCTTGATCTCTGAAGACGGTATCGGATAAAACCGTCAGGATTCCCGGCCATGATGTGAGACAGGAAGGTCCTCATGCAGCATGAGTTCCCTGCTCCAGGAAAGCTCCATGGACGCGATGCAAAGGTGCTAAAGAGGGAAACCGGAGAAGTTCAGCTGCATCTGTGTCATGCTACGTACTTCTAAACCTCAGGAATGGTGTGATCCATCAGGCTTTTCATAATGCTTGGTGCCATCCGTTTAATAATATGTTCAAAGATAAAAGCAGGCATACTTGTTATGGTGACTATAGTCCCAGACATTGAAAGTATGTCTGTTGTTTGAGAATCCTTCAACCCAATGACATTCTGGCCGTTGATTTTGCAAATGTTATGTTCAGTCAGAAGACCATTTCTGGCAGCAGAACTGTCTTTCACTATGGATGTTATTTTTCCATTTTTGAAGATAAAACCGACATGTCCAGAACTATCCTTGTGCATGGTAATTGTCCCTTCAAAGGGCCTGTCGTGAATGGTCATGGTAATCTTCTCTCCGAAAGCCTGTTTGAACACTTTGTGTGCTTTGTCTGAACTACAGCCCACACAGTTCTCACCATTGATCTGGAGGACTTGATCCCCAAATCTCAGACTAAACGAAGAGGCTGGAGAGTTAGTCTGGACTAGCTGAGCAGATACACCATTATCTACCGATTTAATCCTGAGCCCAATTTTTCCATCTTGATCCTTACACAAAATGACTTCACGAATGCCTTGTTTTATTTCTGCTCTACGAATTCCAACATCGCTCCCTGTTACGGGAGCCACCATATAGTTCATGCTGGAAGGTTTTCCTACCAACTGCCCCTGCACTGGCGCTCCAGGGACCATGGCACACATTTCTTCTTCATTTAAGTTCAAGCCCATGTACTGAGAAAGCTCTGGATACAGCTTGGGATAGAGATTTCCATCTTGGGAGATGGGGGCAGAAGCTTCCAACAGAACTGCTGGGTTGGCAGGGTTTGCAGAAAAGGCAATCTGAGCCTGTATTACTTTGCCTACCTTCAAATCTTCAAGAGATGGATAGAGAGACATTTCTGCAGGATTTTTCTCCGTGCAGGTCGCTCGCCGCCGCTGCTGCCGCATCCACCCGCATCTCCACCACCGCCTTCCCAGACCCGAGGGGACGGCGTGGCGCCGGAGGCCCGCCCGCCCCTCCTGGGTATTTTTGCAGAAGAACTGAAAACATCATACCACACTGATATATGTACACCTATGTTTATAGCACCACAATTTGTCATAGCTAAATCTTGAAAACAGCCTAAATGCCCATCATTGAGGAATGGATAAGAGAGGAGTGCATTTTTACACAGTGGAGTATTACTCAGCTATAAAAATGATAAACTCGAGGTTTTTATTGGTAAATGGATGTAACTACAGACCATACTTGTAAGTCAAATAAATGAGACCTATATGTACAAACATGGTACTGTATTGCTAGTGTAAAGACCTGAAAGAGTAAATAAAATCTGAAAGATATAATAGATACTGTGCAAGAGAAAGAATCTGTTTGAAAGGAAAGAACGACTGGGATGAGAAAAACTCAAAAGAAGGAAGGGGAAAAGAAATATATGGTATCTTGGATAATTGTACTGGTGATTTCTGCTACTCTAC